GGCCCCTAAGTGGGCGCCTTCGCAAACATAGGCTCTACACGAAATTTCATCAGTCATGTTTGTGTGGATAGACTGCACTTAGGGGACCAAGTGCACTGGCTTAGCAGAACTGTAGCTTCTACGCTAGCCAACAAGCACCAAATGATAGTTAAAGACCATGTCAAGGACGTAGTCTGTTCCTTCTCTTATGGAGGAGGGGAAGTGAGACATAAAATCTCATTCCTCGTCAGCGACGAACTGCCCTTCGACATGCTAATAGGCATGTACTACCTTGAGGTTGCTCAACCTCAGCTCAATTGGGATAGAAAGTTGTTGATACATAAGCTGCCAAATGGTAGGACCGTTAGACTGCAAAAGTTTAAGGCTAGTAGTCTTGTGGAAAACTGTGGCTGCATGTGTGCCTCCTCTTTCTATAACTATTATAAGCAAAATCGTGAGGACGACATGCATCTAGTCTTTGTCTCTGAGAAAGGGGAGGCCGTTAAAACACCCAGAGATAAAACCAGTCATCGCACAATATTCCGATCTTTTTGAGGAGCCTACAGGCGTGGTAGCAAGGGAGGTGGTCCATGCGATAGAGGTTGTCCCAGGTAGCAAGGTGCCTAGAGGACGAATCTATAGGATGTCTCCTGCGGAATTGGACGGGCTCCGCCGCCAGCTCAAGGAGCTCACAGAAAAGGGATGGATTCGACCTAGTACCTCCCCTTACAGTGCGCCAATCTTATTTGTCCCTAAGAAGGGGGGTACCTTATAGGGGCCTCAATGCCATCACAGTAAAGAACGCAGAGCCCCTACCCCAGATCGACGACCTACTGGATGAAGTGCAGGGATGCCAGTACTTCACAAAGATAGATTTGAAGTCCGGATACCATCAAACTGCCATTAGACCTGAGGACCAGCACAAAATCGCCTTTCAGACCACATACGGTCCGTATGAGTTTGTGGTGATGCCCTTTAGCCTATGCAATGCTCCTGAACATGATGTTTCATGAGTACTTAGACGAGTTTATCGTCGTGTACCTCGATGATATACTTATCTTTAGTAGGACTGTAGAGGATCACGCTGAGCACTTAAAAATAGTGCTAGGTCTCCTAAGACAACACCAATACAAGGTTAATTTGGAGAAATGCGAGTTCGGTCGCACCAAAATCTTGTAATTGGGTCAAAAAATCATCCACGGATGGATTGAGGCCGAATGATGCTAAGGTGGCCAGCATACGTGACAGGCCCAGGCCTCACATTTTTTAAGAACTATAGTACTATAGCTTCCCCATTAACAGATCAAACTCGACTCGACACCCCTTGGGAGTGGACTGAAGAGTGTGAGCCGGCCTTCAGGAAACTAAAGTATGCTCTGACACACTACGAAGTCCTCAAACTTCCCGATCCTGATAAGCCCTTTGTCGTGACCACAAAAGGAGGGGCCAAAGTTGAGACCGATCGAGTATATGAGCGAAAAGATGTCATCTCGGAAACTAGCCAGGTCTACTTATGACCGTGAGCTCTATGCCCTTTACCGAGCGCTGGTCCATTAGAGACACTATCTCCTTGGCAGATTTTTCTATGTAAGATCTGACCATGAGACCCTGCGCTGGATCAAGACACAACCGGTACTCTCAGATGCACTCAAGAGATGGATACAAGTGATAGAAATGTATGACTATCAACTCTATCCTATCAAAGGAGAGTACAATAAAGTAGCGGATGCACTATCGCGAAGGGCAAGCTATCTGGGCGCGTTGGTGACTGATAATGGCATATCTGACGACCTAACTTGATCTTTGGTGGAGGCCTACCAGCAAGATTCAATTATGTCTGAGATCATCCGCAAGCTCAAAGAGAAGGATAAAGTAACTTCTAACAAATTTGTTGTTTCTTGAAAAGGCAGGGAATAAAAAATTGTGTGTTCCTAATAGTGAGTCTTTGTGTAGTTTATTTTTAGGGGAATATCATGATGCAACTGGACATTTTGGCTATAGAAAGACATCAGCTAACCTAGTACAAAAGTTTTGGTGGCCCACAATGATGCAGGATGCAAACAAATATGAAGAGACCTGCCAGGTTTGTCAACGTGACAAACCGAGGACGCAAGCACCTTTGGGATTGATTAAACCTCTGCCTATCCCTGCTGGACCTGGCCAGAGTGTGTCCATGGATTTCATGGATACCCTCGTGACCAGTAAGAGCGGAAAAAGGCATATAATTGTCATTGTGGATAGATTCACTAAATATGCAAGACTAATTACTATGCCTGAGACAGCTAGAACTGACCACATCATCAAGCTCTTTATGGATAACTGGGTACGTGACTTCGGTCTGCCTACGTCTATAGTCAGTGACAGGGATGTGAGATTTACCAGTGAACTGTGGCAATCAACTGCTCAACAGATGGGCACAAAGCTCCAAATGAAGTCAAATGGCCAAGCAGAGCAGATGAACCGAGCAGTACAACACCTGCTTAGACATTATATCAAGCCAAGTCAAGATAATTGGGACGATCTCGTCGCCAGCCTGTACAATAACGCTGTGCACAGTACAACAGGAACGACTCCCAACCAACTGCACCTTGGTTGGAATCCCAGAACTGCACTCAACTTTCTGCTACCAAAAAGACAACCCACTGCAGCACCTGGCAGCATAGAGTTTGCTGTCAAATACGAACAAATGCTGCAGCAGGCCGTTGAAATGATTGCATTTGAGAATAAGCATAGACGGCCCTTTCAGGTAGGTGATAGAGTATGGGTTAAATCATCTCATCTAGGTCAAGAGTTGGGCATTTCACGTAAACTAATGCCACAATATTTTGGGCCCTGGGAGATCTTAGACATTGTAGTGGATCAACTGGATGGGCGTTCATACGTGATTCGCATTCCTGCACACTTGCGTACTTACCCTGTGTTCCATGCCTCCAAGTTGGCACCTTTCGCAATCACTGATCGGTTTCCCTCCGGGAGATCAATGTTGCCCCCAAACATGGATGGACACGTGGACATTGACGATATCGTCGAGCACAAGCTGATGCCTGTACCCAAACCTCCAGGGACGGGCCGACCGCCAAAGCCACATATGAAATACAGAGCGCGGTTCAGACATCACATTGATCCTAAAGAAGACCGGTGGTTCACAAGAGAGGAATTAATGAAGACGGCTCCCCAAATCATATCCAATTACGAAAGAAAGTTAAAAGGGAAGCAGCCTGATACAGAAGAACTTCTCAGAGGACTATCGAAGAAAAGGAGGGAATGCGAGGATCTGGGTCCTCGGCAGGCCTAAGAGGGCCCTACTGCAGATGTGCCCGCCCTAAGTGAAGGCGGGCCTAACAAATCACGAGAGGCCCTCAGCTGTCAATTTCGTCTTTGCGGGTCCAAGTAGTTTCGACGCGCGAGTTGGTTGAGGGAAACAGGCCGCGCAGCAGCACATTCCACGGCCTTCTGGGCCTTTCCAAGAATGCAGACCCTGGGCGAGAATCGCAGCCTCATACACCGGCAGTTGTGAGGCCCAACCGAAAGAGGAGCAGTGGCTGCAACACAAGCGCAGCATCCTAGGGCCTACCGGAAGCTTTTGGGCCCGGGCCAGTCCAGCCAGGCTGCGAAGGCAGGAGGCTTTTTCCATATAGGAAAGAGCTCGCCACCGACAGCCTCATTCAGGCACTCGCATGCTAGCGACAGCGCTGCTGGAGCGGACGCTCGTGGGCTGCTGCTGGCGCTGAGAGGCGAGGTGCTAGCACGTGCGGTCGTGCAGGGAGCAGGGCGCTGCTGAGGGCAGCGCCATAGTCCAGCCTCCATAGCTGGTTGGGCTTGGACTACAATGAGGCGCAGGGGTGGTCTTTGGGTGTATAAAGGGAAGACATGGGAGTAAGATGAGGGAAAGAGAGAAGGATGATGATGATGATGATGTGAGAGCACATACCTGGTATTGGCGATGGTCTGGATGGGCGACATCTTCAAGTACTTCTTGCATTGTCAATTAGTAGGCAGAGAGTAGCTGTGTAGATAGTAGGCTGGGCGCTGAGCGCCAAGTAGGAAGATAGGGCCTGGACACTCATGTTGGTGGTGGCAAGAGCAAGCTCTCATTGACATTGGTTTTCAGTGTTACGAATCTTCATTGGTGTTATATTGGTGCATTTATGCTTTCTGGACACTATGATACTATCTGGCTTTCAATGTGATTGTGCAATCTGCTTATTGCCATCTCGCTATTGCTCCTTTTCTCGCTTTCAATGTGATTGTGCAATCTGCTTATTGTCATCTCGCTATTGCTCCTTTTCCTTGCAAAGAGAGGGCTTTTGGGGGAAAAAAAGCGAAAGAGAGTGCCACTGTGATAGGCTGCCAACTTGACTTTGCGATTTTTTTTCATTTTTTTCACTTCCTCTTCTTCTTCTTCTTCTTCTTCTTCTCCCACCTCTCGGTCTCCATAGACTCCCTTCCTCACCACCACAGCCTTCGTCCTTTGACATGGCACTGTGTCAAGTTGTCAGCCTGACTTTGCAATTTTTTCTTTTTCTTCTTCTTCTTCCTTCCACCTCTCAGTCTCCATAGACTCCTTCGCTCACCACCACAGCCTCCATCCTTTGACGTGGCATTGTGTCAGGCTGTCAGCCTGACTCTGCGATTCCTTTTCTTTTTTTCACATCAAGCTCTCCCTCCTTCTTCCCCTCTTCGTTCGAGAACCTTGTGCAAGATGGCATCTTCAAGCGGGGCAGACACTTCGAGGGGGAAGGAGGTGGCAGGTTCGGACGATAGAGCCACGCGCGTGAAGAAACCATTTCAGCCACAGCCTGAGGCAAGGCAGTTGCAGCTGCAGGCGACGAAGGTGGCATTCAAGTGGGTGACGCAGGGGCAGATGGTCCCGCAATTGTCGAAGGGGCAGTATAGAGTGAAGTGCAATCTGTGCGCCGCAGATTGGGTCGCGTCATACACGCGTGTGTGGTCACACCACACTGAAAACTAATCCATGCCCCGCGCGTTATCCGGAGATGCTTCACACCCTTGCTGCGAAGGGGCATGCGATTGACTGCAAGAAGACGTTGCGGCTCATCACAAGGGAACACATTGGATGAGTTCATAGTGCCACCGACAGCACGGCGGAGCAGAACAACGCCGACCGCGGATGTTAATGAAGAGGCAAGAGAGGGTGTTGTGGAAGACGGTGGTGGAATGTCGTGGACGTCTGCACACGGATCCACGCGTGCCAGAAATCCAGGAAGTTTACACAAGCATCGATCAAAAGGTGGGCAACGAACAACTCGCAACAAAGATTGGATGCGGCATGGGGGATGCACCTGTTTTGACACGGCGCCCTATTCAACTATGCGAGGACGAAAGAGACACAAGAGCTGCATGATTTGTACCTTGAGTTGGGGGAGAAGAAGCAGTGGGTGAAGATGCTCCCTTGGAGGTCATGCGAACTGTTGTTTTGGGCATCATCTAGAACAAGGTGCAAGAAGACATGCATCCGCTGAAAACGAAGTGGGACAACACAGGTTGCACGCTCCTCACTGATGGCTGCACAGATCGAAGGTACAGACGTGTGATGAACTTCATCGGGGCCGGAGAAAGCGGTGCAATCCTTTTAAAGGTTGTGGATGTGTCGAAGAAGAAGAAGACCGCAGCCGCTTTGGCAATGATGTGGGAGCAGATGATCAGAGACATTGGGGTGCAACGGGTTAGTGCAATCTGCACAGACAATGCGGAAGTCAACAAGCAAGCTGCGCGAATCCTGCGAAGGCGTACAGATCGTGACATATCAAGCATTCCATGGGTGTCGTGCACAGCTCACTGCTTGAACTTGTTGATGAAGGATATCTGCGAGCTGGACTGGGTGAAGGAAGTGGTGCAGCGCATGAAGATGATGGTCAAGTTCATAAGGAAACACCATATCACCGCCAGCCTTTACATGAGGTGCTTAGAACTTTCCAGGGAGCTGACCTTGATTTTGCCCACTGAGGTCCGGTTTGCTTCCGCATACATGATGATGTTCCGGATTTGCGGAACGAGGTGTGTGCTTGAGGAGATGATGGACGAAGGGTGGAGGTAATTGAGATGGAGCACAAGGAAAGATCGGGACAAGTCTGACCTGACGTACCAGACTATTACTACGCCTGAGTGGTGGAAGAGGATGCGCACAATTTTGGATGTGTTGGAGCCGACATACGAATTATTAAGGAAGATGGACCGCAACGGCACAACCCCCCCAAACCTTTGGCACTTCGACGAAGGGTTGGGCAAGCGTCTGAAGAGACTTAGGCATTTGACCGATGACCAGCAGCAGGCGATCATGAAGGCAGTCGACCAGCGCACGAAGATGATGAGGCAGCCTGTTCATACAACAAACTTTCTCCTTGACCCAAGGAGGAGAGACAACAAGTGTTTGATGGACATGCACTCCCCGCTAGTCCAAAACACCCTCACGTTCTTCTTATCACAGTGCAAAGAGGAGGCTACTTGGGGGTGCAAGGAGGAGCTAGATCTGTGGGCAGGCTTGCAAGCTTTCCACAAGGAGCCAACTAAAGACATGTTGGTAAAGGATCCAGTGATAGGGAAAGTGGTGGAGGAGAGCTTGTGGACTGACTTCGCGAAGTTCAACAGCTCCTTTGCTCAAATGACAGCTTCCGAATTGTGGAACCTCCATGGGGCCTCTCATAAGAAGTTGCGAGACATTGCCATGACGATGACAACGATGTGGAGCACTGTGACCCCTTGTGAGAGGAACTGGTCCTCTCTCGATCTTGTCCACGACAAGAGGAGGGGTCCGTTGTCGCCTGACAGCCTCGCCAAGTTAGTGTACATCCACTGGAATCTTCAGCTGCAGGACATCAAGAAGAAGAAGAGCACGAAAAGCCTGGCAAGGTACTTGGACATGTGGAATGCATTCTTTAACGATGTGGAGGCACCAACACTGAATGATCCTGCGGTGTTGCCCAAGGCTGCAACTCCAGCAGACTTTAGTGATGACGAAGTAGCCCGCCAGGCAAATCTAAAGAAGATCCCATGAGCTAGAGTCATGAAGCCTCATGCGGTTAATGGATTAAGCTCCTCGGACAGCATTGATGATGGGGAGGACCTCATTTGGAGAGGCAAAGGCAAAAACAAAAAGGTTGTCGAAGTTGTTGATGGTGGTAAAGGCAAGGTGCAGATTGGTGTGGACGACAAGGAAGAGGATATTGAGGAGAGCGAGGAAGATGACGAGAACTTTACGTTGCGGTCGCCAAGAGCAAGCGACGTGTCCAGCAACGACAACGAACTGGATGACGACCTCACACGTAACGTGGAGCGGGGTGACCATGATAGTGACTTGGAGTTCTTGCGGCCTCGGGGGATGGACTTCAACGTATGCGTCGAAGTGGACAAGGACTTCGATGACGACGCTGAGAGAGCGAGGGCGCAGTCCCTTGCTCATCGTGATCGCGCCCTCGTGGAACAACGGATTCGAGAGGAAACAGCAAAACGAAGTGTTGTCCCCCCTCCGAGGAAGATGAACGATACAACGATGGGAACGGGCGGATGCCTACCAGCGGAGGGGGTTCAGCAGCAGCAGCAAATGGAAGGCATATGGATGTGTTGCGGCAACAGCAGTATCAGCCACAGAACAGAGGACTGCAGTGGCAGCAGGAGCAGCAGCAAGAGGATGGGCAGCAACAACAGCAGCAACAACAACAACAAGGACTAGGGCAGCAACAACAGCAACAAGAGGGACTGCATCCGCAACAGCAGCAGCACAAGGATGGAGTGCAGCAGCAGCAAAAGCAAGAGCAGGATGGACCGCAGCAGCATCAGCAGCAAGAGCACGATGGTCTGCAGAAGCAACGAGAGCACAATCCGCTGCAGCAGCAGCAAAAAGAAAACGGGAGTGCAACAGGATTTGCTCGAGTGTACACCAGGCGGCCACCAGTGCCCGAAACAGCAGCCGTCCCGGGTGTGGTTCAAACCCTTCCTTTCCCTGCGCAGGTCGAGGGTGTGCAGCACGAGAACTTGGACGTGAGTCTGGCAGGAAGGAAGAAGAAGGAGCAGCCTGACACCGGTGTTACATGCACAGATATGCCATGTACGTAATAACCGAGGATCTGCAATGTGATGAAAAGGACAAAATGGACAATGCAGTGCGAGTAGAATCTCGACAGACAATGTGCATTCTCATACAGACAAAAGGTGCTGAATAGCGCAGGGAAGAAACAGAATGCGGAACAGAATGCTATAGTAGTACTAACTAGCCCAATCAATGTTTGAACTCAGACTAAACATGCATGATATCCATCACCAAGTGTGAAGGAGCCTGGCGCTGTACACAGGAAGAAAGCGCCAGGTCCAGACATACACAGACGAAGAGATAAGGATCAGACGAAAGGAGGGAGAAGGATGGGAATGTCGTTAACACCAAGTCTTGGTCACCAATCCCAAATAGTCCCTCGTTGCCATGTCTGAACTTCCAAAAGTCGAGTCTGGATCAAATGTCACCAAGCTCTGTATCGCTTCTCTCATAGTCTGCAGATGCAGTGAAGTCAGAAGTTGAGAGGGAGTGAAGAGATGGTGGACTGAGAAGAGGAAGAAGAAGAACTCTCTCTCTTTCTCTGTTACGAACCAGATACTAACCTGTGATGTTGGCGTTGTGCCGCAGGTACCTCGAAGACGAAGCTGGAGCAACGGCGCTGCAGGTAGGTACCTCTGACCTCCGCCCAAGCTCTCTCTCTCTCTCTCTCTAGTACTACCTAGCTATGGCGCCCAGCGCTGGAGACTACAGCTACCTACTGCGCCCAGCGCTGAAGACTACAAGCTAACGCTACTACTACTCCATTGCAGTGCTCCCTCCAGAGTGCTGCTCCTGAATCCAGAAGACTACAACTCCTGAATGAATCGTGAAGTGCCTGGGGGGGTACCTATATACTTCCACGGCCTGCCTCCTACGGGCCAGCCAGGCCGAGGAGGCTGCTCTTGCCAATCCACGGCCTGCCTCCTGACTGCCTGAAGGGCCAGCCAGGCCGAGGAGGCTGCTCTTGCCAATCCACGGCCTGCCTCCTGACTGCCTGAAGGGCCAGCCAGGCCGAGGAGGCTGCTCTTGCTAATCCACGGCCTGCCTCCCGACTGCCTGAAGGGCCAGCCAGGCCGAGGAGGCTGCTCTTGCCAATGCACGGCCTGCCTCCTGACTGCCTGAAGTGTCAGCCAGGCCGAGGAGGCTGCTCTTGCCAATGCCGAAGTGTGTCAGGAGCTGGCGCTGCAGCATCTGCTGAGGCTGGCGTGGATACAGGCTAAGAATAGCCTGTTCCAAAAACCCTGGTTTGGTGCCTGAGTTTCAGGGCCGGTCGTTCTGGTGAACGACCGAAAATAGCCCTTCGTTTCAGGCTAARAAGGCTCTTGCCATTTTTAGTTTGAAACGACACGGGGACTGTAGGCCCCTGTTTTCAGGCTGAATTCTAGGCTTTTTGGCTGAAGGGCGCAGGGCCTGGAAAATGGCCTGCATGTGCAGGCGCAGCATGTAACACCGGTCTAAAAGTGGAAAGGAAAAGGGGGCGCCCGCGGGAGTACCCACTGCAGCCAGCTGCATCAACATGCGCTCGGACCGGCGAGGATGGTGGTGAAGGGGGTTAGGTGGAAGAGCATGTCGCTCGGGTGAGGAAGGTGCATGGGGGCCGGTGTGCAGACACACCTGTCAAAGCGGCCGAAGAGGAAGGTGGCAAGGAAGGCGAGGATCGTGGAAGATGATCCAACGGATGCAAAAGAAAGCAGCAATGAGAGTGATGAAGATGGTCAGGAATGCGACTGGGAATAGGGCTCAGCGGGCGAGGAAGCTGGAAGGCCCCACACTTGCACCGGTTTGAGGGCTGATGATGTTCAATGGTCATAGTCGAAGTGTCGGAAGTGGTGATTTTTCGCACAGTCCTTGGGTTTTCCAAGGCAATCAATGTTGTGCCTCTTCCTTCTTGTACTTCTTCTTCTTCTTCTTTTTCTTTTGTTATGACTGTTAGGCTGTTAACATGTTTGTCAATGCAGGCTCAAGATCTCTAAGTCCGTGCAACATACTCTGTGAAACTGTCGGCTGCACTTTTCCACTTACATTGTTTTCAGGTTGCGATTCTTTACAACATTGCTTGCATGGCTGCTTGGAATCACGGGGAGAAGCAGACTGAGCCTGAGTGCGCACTCAAACTGAGTCTGTGTGTTGAGTCGACACTCATACCGAGTCTGGTGCTGGAGACCAGCGGGACAGAGTTGCTCAGAGTTTGCTGCTTGAAATCATGGGGACCAGCAGACTGAGTCTGAGTGCGGACTCGAACTTAAGTTTGAGTCCACACTCAAACTCAGTCTGCTGATCCCCCTGATTTCAAGCAGCAAACTTTGAGCAACTCTGTCCCGCTGGTCTCCAGCAGCAGACTCGATATGAGACTTTATTTCCCGCTGGTCTCCAGCAGCAGACTCGATATGAGACTTTATTTTCAGAACGCTGTTGGAAATCAGGGGATTCTTATTTGCTGCTTGTGAGTGCTCAACCTGCTTTACTTTTGCGAGTGTAAGGGGGACGCAGAAGCTGCTGTGTCAGCCTATCTTACAGCAGCTGGTGCATGCTACCAGCAGCAGCTGCTCAAGCACAGGTGGGACACAGCAGCTGCTGAATCCCCGGTCCTGCTAAACGGACAACCCATAATCCACCCCTCTCCTGCACCCCCTACCCTCACCCTCCTCTCCCCGCCCCTGCCCCCAAAACACATGCATAGAAATTAGAAACGAGACCGGATATCGGCAGTACTTGGGAAGCGCAGACAGGCACGGAAGTCAAAAATAAAATTAAAAAATGCAGCGTTTTTTTTGCCTCCCCGGGGTACCCCAGGCGTGGTCCCCCCCCGGGCAAGCGGGCGCCCCGGGAAAGGTAGATAAGAAGCCCATAAATGAAACATTGGTAACGAGCGAGAATCAACCATCTACTCCATGGAGACTACGAATACAAGAGGAAAATAGTGGTGTATGACAAAGAAGAGAGAATATCAAGATGTAAGCTGACAACACACACACACACACACACACACACACAGAGGAGGCAACGGCTGAAACTTCACAAGGGGGAGGATAATATATACTGCAACGACCTCATTATCACCTTGGTCTTCCGCGTCAGATGCCCAGAACTTAGCTCCACAAACATGCCCTCTGGAGCTGTTTGAGTACCATTCACAACCATCATCATGACCATTTCATTGCTCCTGTCCAGGGTCCTCTGCAAAGGGCTTTGGCGAAGGTTCTTAGCAGAAACAATGGTGACCACCAACATTCCTGCAACTGCCTTCTTCTTGAGATTGATGGGCGACAGTGGAATTAATCTACGTCTTGGCTCCACCATTGTTCGCATTAGAATCTCCTTTAACAGCATTTCCTGCAGATGTATACCACATGGCACATGGCACAGTGCAATTATACAAGGCTCATGTGTCAAGACTGATTCTGACAAACCTTAAACATGCATAAGTTGGACCGGAATGGACTCCTCTCATGGCAAAAGAGTTGCTGAGCTTGCAAATCTAATCATGTATGATGTAAATTTCGTTCAATAGAAACTGACCCCAATTCTTTTCAATGAAATTCTCGGACTTGCACATTCACTAATGTTCATCTTTCAGTGGTCATACAGACTGCAGAGTCCTGCTACAATCGGATGAACATATGCAATAAGACAGACGCTTGGAGCAAGGGGGAAGGTTGAGTAAACAATGAACAAGCCATCACCGGAAACAATAACCGAGTACGCACAGATCAGCGGCCATACAAACGATGAAAGAACAGTATCAACCGTACACCTTCGTGCGCGGAATTGCGCACGCATTGCGCACCGCGTGCAGCGCACTGAAGCACAGTGCACTGGAAAAATTGGGTCCAAAAAAAAAAAAAAGGGGGTTTGTCATTCCTTAGGGCCCCCAACTCGGCAAAAATGTTGAACTCACCGTGCGAGCTCCGAAACTGGCCGCGCCCCCAGCCCGAATCTTTTTTTGGGCAAGGGCTGCTAAATTCTGATTTCAGCAGGCCCTGCCCCCAAAAGTTTCAAAGTGGCAAAGCATAAAATAGGGCTCATTCCAACTTTTTTTTAGGAGGGTAATGGAAACTGGCCTTCCCCCTCCCTTCTGCAAATCCCACACAGTGGTGGGTTAGGTTCGCAAGAAGGGGGTAGACGCCTAATAACGACCTGGCCCGCGAAGCTTCGCAGAAGTCACAAGTTGCATTTTCCACGGGCAGCCGACCACCAATATATGCTGAAGATTGGCGTTCAGGTCTGCATATCGTTAGTTACGGGTTAGGACGAAGATGCCCGTAGCTCTCTCGTTTTTTTTGTTTTTGTTCTCTTACGAATATGTACAGTGGGGCCTGCTCCACTACTCACCACATGCACAAGAAATAGCATATGGTGGTGTATGGTTCCATGCTTTAGCAAAAGAATCATTTTACTAGTATTACATAAATTTGGTGAGTAGTGGAGGGAGGATGAAGATGCCCGTAGCTCTCTCGCCTTTTTTGTTTTTGTTTTCTTACGAATACGTACAGTGGGGCCTGCTCCACTACTCACCACATGCACAAAAGACATAGCATACGGCGGTATATGGTTTCATGTTTTAGCAGAAGATTCATTCTACTAATATTATATACATTTGGTGAGTGGTGGAGGGAGAACCTGAGAATCACGTGGAGACACGCACAGGGTCTAGCTGAATTGGTGACCCATAACTGCCGAGCTACAGCCCTGAACTCGAACACAGCATATATTGGTGGTCTGCCCCCACCTCTTCTACTCATTCCGAGGCTATCCTTCTCACTGAAGCAGTGGCCCTTAATGACTCAACATGTATCGTAGGAGTCATTCGAGGTACCTGCAGCGACCCTCGAATTGACGTGAAGGGGACCCTTTGTTCAAGCTTGTTGTCTCTCTCCCTCTCTCTCTCTCTCTCGGCAACCTGTTCTTTTTTTTTTTTTTTTTTCCGTGCACAGGGCGCACCTTCCTCAGCGCGTGCACATCAGACCGCGCTGCGCACTGCGCACAGTGCGCACGCTGTCATTCCAGGGCACAGCGCAGTGCGCACCGCCCTGCACCGCACTGGTGTGCTGCAACTATGATATCAACTGATCCAGCCAATAAATACTTTGTAGATCTCCTCCAGGGACCACAACAAACGTATGTATAAAGTCAGTGGCCCAGAGCAAGGGGGGATATTGAGGAAACCATGGCTACAATCCGGACGCCCGGAACGCCGTCCAGACGGACTCCAGACGTCCGGTCTGGAAGGTCCGGATCTGCCAAAATTCGAGGGGGAAAAAAAAAAAAAAAAAAACGGTCCAGGACCCTTCCCCATTGGGGAGACAAGCCCCCAAAATTGTTTTGGGGGTTTTTCAGGCCCGTTTATGTTTTTTGGGGGGTCCAGACATGCTCTCTCACTATAATAATTTATTAGACAACCCCAATTTTTTAATTATTAATAATTCATTACCTTTTATTCATGGTAACCCCAGACTGTCTTCCGGACCAGTGTCTGGACTGGTCCAGACTGTCCGGTGATCCGGACATTACCGGACACCCGGACATCACCGGACCCGGACAGTCCCGACCCGTACCAGGGGTGCACAAATGTCCGGACAAAAAAAAAAAAAAAAAAAAAAAAAAAAAAACGGGGGGGGGGGGGGGGGGCGGGGGTGTTGGCAGGCACTTACCTGCTCTGCACTCTGTAGTTCAGGCAGCAGAGCACGTGTCTTGCTGCAAATCAACAAGCACATTTAACTAGCAGACATGCAGAGTTGCAAACAGTGCAAAGCAGGCACAAGACTGAAGAAACAGAGATTTGTTTTTGAAGAAAGTATGATTAACTTTGAACTTTGAACTTTGGATTTAGTAATTTAAGTTCATAACTTCACACACAACTTAAAAGTTCAAACTTTGCAGTTCAATTCAGAATGTCAGAGTCTTCAGACTGTCAGCACTGTCAGTGCTCTCTCTCTCTCTCTCTCTCTCTCTCTCTCCCCAACGGGCAGCAGCGGCGGGCACCTTGAAATTGCTCGGGCCTGTGCGAAACCCGCGACCCCAGAAACCTGCAGTGTCTTGTGTCCGGACCTCTAGGCCCTGTCCGGTGGGGTGAAATGACATTGAAAAATCACCCCGTTATTTTTCGAGGGGCGGCCAGGACCCGATAAATGTCCTGGGCCGCCCCCTTCTTTTTTTGGATTTTCTCCCCAGGGGCCTCCATCCGGACATCAGGACCAGACACCGGACACCGGACACCGGACACCGGACTGTCTGGAACCCGGTCCGGACGTCCGGACGGTTACCATGCTTTTATTAGTTCTTAAAGTCTTTTTTAAAGCTTTTTTTATAGTTTTTGACTTGTAACTCAAGTTTGGTTAGGAATTCTGACATGACTCTGAGGCAAAAGTGGTTTGCATTGTTATTCTGCATAGCATACTTTTTTTTCAGATTTTTTTATTTTTATTTTTTTTAATGGTCCGGACTGTCCAGACATCCGGACCGCCCAGATCCCCCCATGTGCGGAGGTCCGGAAATGTCCGGAATTCCGGACGTCCGGAAACTACCGGACACGGGTCCGGTTCCATGTCCAGAAATGTCTGGGTCCGCGTCCGGCGTAGCCATGGAGGAAACAGTTAACAGACCAATCACAAAATGCAGAAAGTGTAAATCAGCAACTGTTAGGACCTGCCAAACACGGACTGAGACACACAGCTGATTTCTGAGTTTTGCCAATGGAATGTATGCCTTGCTGAGTGTGTGCATGTTTGCTGGTCTACGTGCCTGTCTGAGTGCTCGTCGGTTTGAGTGTGTGTGTGACCCGCAAGGGTACTCGTTCGTGCGGAAGGCCCAAAGGCCTGGTACTTACCCATGGCCGTGGCATTGAGGGTTGCAGCGGGGAAAACACTCAAGTAATAGGTAGGCTGGTACCACACCAGGAAGAGGTCGATGTGCCAAGTACTCGAGACCGAGCAGAAGAAGACAAAGTTGGCATTTTTAGAGGCCCAGTAGTTATAGGCTAGGTCTAGGCGGGTACCAGTCCAACCAGTCTGAGTCTAGGGACTGTACGGGCAATATCAGAGTCTGCAATGATGTTTCCCTCCGAATGGGAGGAGGTACCGGTTGCTTGGAGGCTGCGCAGCCTAGGAAGTCACTCGCCAAGAGGCAAGCAGGCCACTATATCTCCAGGAGGAGCGAAGTGCTCCTCATTGTCGGTGTGCAAGTTCGGCAACACACTGGCTGGAGCGCTGGCTGGAGGAGCGCTAGCATCAGAGCAGTGCTGCTGGGGAAGAAGCAACGACAGAGAGAGGAGGAAGACAAGGTCGCTACACCAAGAAGCTTCGAGGCAGAATCAGGCATGGCAGCCTGAGCTGGAGCAGCCATAGCTGCTTAGTGTTGTCCTTTACACAGCAGGGCAACGCCCTGGCAGTCCACCATAGCCCCAGCCTTGGAGGAAGAAGGAAGAAGGGTGGCCATGGCTGCGGTGGACCTCATGTGATACCTGCAATAGAAGAGGGATTGAGACATTGATTCTGGTTTATCCATTCAACATTATTATTATTATTTCTTGATTGAATAAGACAGGAGAAGATGAGGAGGAGGAGAGTGGTTGGTGAAGAAGAAGAGAATTATCACTGGTCTATGCTGGTGTACATCTTCTTCTTCTTCTTTCCCTCTCTCTCCTCTCAAGTCCATTTACTTCTTTTTGCAATTCGACGGCATTGTACTTTCTCATGAATGTGTACTTCGAAATTGGCCAGGATCATAACATTGGTCTCGGAGCGGATTCCCAGAACTACTGGTGAGAGTTTACTTATCCACCCTAACCCTAACCTAAGCGGTTAGGGCTGACCACTTAGGGTTAGGGTTGGTCCAAAGTAGGAAGTGGGGCAGCGTGGATTGGGGAAGCTGCCCCCATGTTGCATACTCGTGAAACACAGTCATAAATATGGCGCAGATTCACAAAACCGACCAGATAATACAGAGTAAGTACAATTACAGCGGAAGACTTGATACACATGGACTGACTCGGACCTGACTCAGACTGCAACGAAACACTCACGACATGCATCGGTGGTGTGAAAGCCCTGGCCTTGGACATGGAAGTGCAATCAGACTCGCATTCATTCACACTTCACACGTATCGCAAACAGGTTGCGCAGCAAACTGGCGCCAGGCGCCCACTCAGAACTCAGAGATATAGTACCAAGAACACACTCAGATACAAGTTCACTTCACATGGCTATGGTGGCACTTCGCCTGAACAACTCTTTGTTCGTCATTCCCTCGACACTGCTGTTCACATACAGGATCACCCTGGATATCCCACACGCAAAACCCTGTACACTTGCGCACACACTCACACACACCTATAG